CAGTAACTATTTTTCTTCAAAAACCCTAATTAGCATTATGAAAACCTTAATCGGCATTATTAATTGGACTAAATTGATGCAAAATCTAAAATAAATGGTCAAAATCAAGCTAATTGAAATTACATGGACCAAAATGACATAAGGGGGAAAATGTAGAGACTATAAATGTAATTTACACTAAAATTTTAAATGTAGTTGTTTTGCTTTTGTGTCATTGGGATAAATTTTTTTTATAAGTTAGCAAATATTTTTAATTTTGAAAGACTTTTAACTATCCTTAAGCTGAAATAAAGTTAAAGAAAGTAAATCAATCGCATTCTCCTTATTTTAATTTTTACAAATAACTTCAATTCTTAAAACACTAAAAGAGAAAAAGAAGTACAAAGAGAAAAAAAAAAAAAGCCAACAAAGAAACAAGAAACAAGAAAAAAAAGGGAAGAAATGAAGTTGAATAAGAAATTTTGAAATAAATATGAAATAAATGAAGAAGGAATCAAAAATAAAGATCGAGTTGAAGAGAGAACTGAAATAAAAAAAATAAAAAAATGGGGACTGAGTTCAAGAATAAGAGAGAAAATAGAGTACGCATAGAGTTGGAGTGTGAAGATTACAACTTGAAAATGAGGACTGATTTAAAGATCCAACCAATCTTTTGTTTTTCAAATGTTCACTCTAAATTATTTTCTTACATAGATAATTATAGATTTTTGGCTAGATATATGAGAATATTTTAGAGAGGCGAGTATTAAATTTTTCAAAAAAATTTGGGGGTGGTAAACTTATATAAATTAGATATATTCTTAACTAATACTACTATATTACAGTATTTTTTTAAAACTTTGGAGTGGCGGTCGCCCTACCTTGCCCCCTGGGTCCATCTACAAATGAAACACTACAAAAAATAAAATAAAAATGAAATTCTTATTTTTTCGAGTGTGAAGACATGTTCTTTTGCTTTACCAAATGAAACTTTCTGCCAAAAAAATAATAATAAATAAATAAAATTGACAAAATGCAAAGAATTCTTGACCAATAATGCTTAAGCCATGTTTGAATGATTCTCGCATAACTTTGATTCAACAAATGAATATGAAGCTAGTCTTTCTTAAGAATAGGAAATTACTACTATTTCTCAAGACATCAATTGTCATATAGTGAAATTGTACAACTTATTGCAAATTCATGATGCCATTTCTTACAAGTTTTCTCAATTCATCCACAAACCATTCTCATCGCATGGGAAGTTATTGAGCCTGGGACATTCTACTTTCTCCAAGTAAATCAAATTGGGAAATAACATCATAATGTCTTCCCAAGCTATCTCTAAGTTACTCACGTACTTCAATTGTAACATTTGAACTGTGGTAGCTACTATTTTGTCCAGATTACACAATAGTCCTCCTCTGATGTAAAGTTTCTTCAAGTTGTCCAAATTGTTAGACCGCAACCAATCGGGTGTATCTATCTCAGGAAAACCCTCAAGCTCTAGTTTTTGCAACGATGAAGGAAGTTTCAATAAGAGAGGAAGTTTTGGATCACGCTGCTCAATGAATGATCTTGTCAGCGTTGTCTGCTTGGAAAATAGTTGTGCTTGCTTAGGTGAATCATCAGTTTTACCTCGTAAAATGCATCCTGACCAAGATATTTTCAACTTCTCTAAATGGTATAATCTTTGTAAATGATGAAGCTGCAGATCTGTTGGAAATTCTTTCATACTTATGGATATGCTCAATTTTCGTAGATTTGACAATTTTGTCAAATTATTGATAGTACATGACTTTTCGTCCTTGGAATCTCTAATAATAAATCCCTTAAGGACTTCGAGATTAGATAGTGCACCAAGCCCCTTGGGCATGTGATCTAAAAGGTAACACCCAGATATATCCAAGTGTGTCAAATTTTCAAGCAAGCCAATCCAATCTGGAACCACCTCAAGGTTGTGACACGATTTGAGATCTAGAGTTTTAAGACCAGTCAGTTGTGAAATGAATTGAGGAAGCTCTGTAATCAATGAAATTCCTCGAAGGCTAAGAACCCTCAATTGTTTCATATTCTTGAGAAAATTGAGAATTTTAATGTCTGAGACTTCAATGTGATGCGTGACCGAATTCTGCCACCTTCCCAAGTAAACAACTTTCAAATCCGTGCCCCTTTTGAAAATAATTTCATGTCTTCCATCAATAATAGCCGCATCAACGTTGACGATGCTGCTGTCCCAAAAGGTGAGGCCTCGATACGTCAAATCACCAAACTGATCAACTGTTGATTTAAAACACAACGAATGGCAGGGGGCATCCTGTAGCTATCCACAATCAATCCACAATTTTTGTAGATAGGCTCGATGAAGCCCTTTGCAGTAAGCCCATCCAAGATACCGTTGGCATGAAGCTCTGCTTGTTCTGCTTGGAATGGAATGCACCCGCTAATCCACCAGTAAATCACAAACCTTTTCTTCATGGTAGCCATTTCTGGGAAAATCAAGAAAAAATCCAAAATTTTTTTTTGTCCCCAGTCGAGGCTATGGAAAGATACCTGGATATCTGCAAGTGCAGAGGTGCTGTGCAAATAACCGGACTTGTTTACATCGACTTGGTAGTTGCTGCTGCTACCGTTAATGGATCCATCAGACCATGGTTTCCGATGTGGTTTTGAATCATCATCATAATGGATTTTAAGCTTGGAGGGAATCTGGGATTTCAACTTCTTGACAGACATTTTCAGTTGGTCAAGTTCGTTAGTATCACTCCCTCCTTCTCTTGTTTTGAGCTCCTCAAATTTCTCACAAGCCTAGTTGATTTGCACATTCATATGATCTACAAACTTCTGAATCTGTGTTATGGTCTCTTTCATGAAATTAAGATCTCGACCAATCATGTTAGTGAGATCATGATCTGCAACTTGGTAGTCGTCGTTGTTGTTTGTGGCGGTGCTAGCTTTGTGGCAGTGGTTGTTAATTGGATTTGGTTGGGAGATACTACTGTCCATGGCTATGAAAGGAACTACTACCAAAACAGGGTCGTGTTGGAGTCTTGAGAGTGAGAGGACAGGTTTGTTCTTTGATGGTCTGGTCTGGGTTTCAAAGAGAAAAATGGATCATGAGAAAGAGTGAGCACGTTTTTTCTTTGATGGTCAGGGTTTCAAAGAGAGATGGATCACGAGAGAGAAAAATGCTGTGACACCATAAGAGAGAGAGAGAGAGAGAGAGAGAGAGAGAGAGAGAGAGAGAGGTGCAGAAGAGATGAAGAAGGGCGTGGCCTATTACAGATGTTTTACTGAGGCAATAATTGATGAGACGCGGAGAAGAAATATGGCCCACCGGCAGGGACAGGGTTGTGAGCAAGGATCCTCTAGAGTTTTTTTTTTCCTAAAGTTTCCTAGAGTGGTGCATTGTGTGGTTAAGATTTAGGAAAAAAACACTCTAGAGGATCCTTGGTGCAGGGTTGTTGAACCGCGTTTGAGGGTGGATTTTATTACGGTTCCATTTTGGTTTATGGAGTTTATTATGAATTTTTTATTTTAGTAATTTGAATTATTTATAAAAAAAATTTATGTATATTATTTATAAAATAATTAAATTGATTCAATTATTATGATATTTTCATTTTATTTTATTTTTTTTAAAAAATAAATAATCTATTTTAATAAAATATTTGTTTAACTTTTTGAAAATAAAAGTAATAAAATAAAAACGTTATAATTATTGGTTTATTTTAATTTTTCTGCATAAATAATATACATGAAAGACCCTACAAAATAAATAATTAGAATCATTGAAACAAAACTTGAAATGGATTCCACGGAGAAGCTCAACCATCTTTTAAACAATGTGGATGAAGTTTTACTTTGCCTCCAAACTATCACTCAAAATCAATTCAACCTCCATTCTTTCGATTATAGGAATTTTACACGTGAACCATTCAATTTTGGATTAATTTCACCCCGCTGTCAACTGTCGTCTATGATCAGACAGAATTTGCTAACTTGTGTTGGCTACATATTTTGTACAAGCCAGTTACAATTCGACGCGTGGCAAAATAAGGGTAACGTGGGAAGACTATTCAAGTCTTCGATCCTAATCGTACACGTGGCGATTAGTATTGGATATTACGAGACCTGTGTAGCAGTGGATCAACAAAAAGATGCAAGGTGATGTGGCTTCAATAGTTACTCACATTTCAAATTCAAATTGAGGAGGGAAGCCTAACTGCAAGTAATGGCGTAATGGAGCTAATCTTGAGGCAACATGATCAGCGATCATGGAGGAGCAGTTCAACGGTTAGAAATGCAGTTCGATGGTGATCATTGAGCAGTGTAAATAGCTGAGAAGGCCCCAGAAAAAGCCCCCAGACTCAGATTCAAAAAACCAGTCTTATTCTACTTTACTTAGTTTCTTTTCCCAATTTTACATTTCCTGTTCTTTATATTCCAGTACTTTAAATTCCTGCACTGCACTTCGTTCATAGGAGTAGTTTCAAGTACATTGTTGCTGTAAACCTCTACGAGGCTGAGTTTGAATCATTGTAAGTTTTTTCATGTTAATGAAATACTTCAACTGTTCTTCATTTAATTGTTATTTTGCTTAATTCTTCTAAATCAAGCCACCAGTAAAAGTCCTCTTCATTGAGGCTGAGAGAACTAAAACACAATCGTCTGATAATTGGTTGGCAATTAAATTTCTGTAAGGACCGATTGATCCTTGCTGGCACGCTCGCAATTATAAAAATAACTTTCGAAAGCCAAAAAAGCCAACATATATTTTTGGCACGCCCAGTGGGACCAATTGAAATGGCTAGACGTAGGAGACAAGGAGAAAATGAATGCTTGGAAGAAGGCGTGGAAGGAGAGGTAGAGATACCTAATCCAGAGGATAATGTGATAACACATCCTGTGGAAATTTCCATTTTATCAGAACTTATGGTCGAACAGACCAGTACTTCAGAACAAGTACCACATGTTCGTAATGTTGGACGAGACCAAGGAATTGGACCATCCACTGTCCCATCTACTCAGCCAATAAATCGATGGGGTGGCTTAATAGATGCAACGGGACAGCAATTAATGAACACAATGGAAAGGTGGGCAACATCCTTTTTGGATTGAATGAATAACCACCAATTAACAAACGTACGACACATGGAGGAAGTTTCGAATGTCCCTCAGCAAAGATTGGCTAGAGATAAACAGCCTATGGAAGTTGATGGACACTCTAATGGTCAAACTAGTAATCAGAACTGTGAAAGACCATCACCTCAATCTTGGTATGAGCCTATTCCGAGGCCTATAGCAGGTCAAAATGCCTTAGTACTTAATAGTGAAGCCATGCAATTTGGTGGATCTGGCCCAGTACAAGAAAATGGCATAAGAATGGTTCCAAATCCCATGTTCGAAGCCATACCTGGCACAAGGGGTTTCACTAATCCCTTATTCGAATTTATACCCGGGGGGTTGGAAGGTTTTCCTACAAATGGAAGAGATACAACACCAGTTCCAGCACTTTTTGCAGGTCCTTTTGCAGGACAGGCTCAAAGGGGTTACCCACACCCCCAACAGCAACCTGCACCGCAGGGATAACTAGTCCCAAATATACCACCTTATGGACCAAGAGGACCACATGCACAAGTTTACCCACCAAATCCTGTGTTTGCCCCTCCAATAGTGGTTCAGCAGACACAAAATATGGTCCCTAGGGACCAAATTGCTGACATTGTTAGAGAGATGTGTGGACCAATGGCTCGGGGGGTCCAGACTCCAGTGTACAAAAAACCATACCTAGAATGAGTAGATAGGGTACATGAATACCCAAGAGGTTTCAGGATACCAGATTTCGCCCTTTTTTATGGGAATGGAAACCAATCAACAGTAGAGCATATTGTTACGTTTGCTGCTCAATGCGGTGAATTTACTAAGAATGACTATATGAAGCTGAGACTGTTCCCAAACTCTATAACTAGGGGAGCATTTGTATGGTACATTAACCTTACACTTGGTTCAATCCAAACTTGGCAACAAGTGGAAGAGGCATTTCATGCCCAATTCTTCCAATCGGAGCTAGAGGTTTCCATGGCAGACCTGGCAAGGTTGAGTCAAAGGCCTGAAGAGAAGGCTATTCAGTTTATTGCCAGATTTAAAACGGCTCGAAATAAATGTAGAGTCATCTTGCCAGAGCTAGAATTCATAAGATTGGCTCAAAATGGCTTAGAGTTTAGGCTTCGAAAGAAGTTTGACTCAACAGAGTTTAGGGACTTAGTGGAACTGACTTATAAGGTATCTAGGTATGAAGCATTACTAGAAGATGAACAAGATCAAAATAATGCATCATACAAGACATACTACAAAGATCCTAACTATGAGATTGATGCAGCAGAGATTGTGGGGAAAGAACCTGTGATCTGTGAAGCATTAATTCATAAGGATACAACAATTGACCAGCAGTTTAAAAAGAAAGACCTTCACAGGAAATACTCTTTCGATTTAACTAAGGCAGATGACAATTTTGATCATTTGCTTGTGGCCAACTTCCTTAAGTTACCAAAAGGGGTTAAAATTCCATCTCTTGATGAACTTAAAGGAAAAGTATATTGTAAATGACATAATTCTTGGTCTCACTCGACAAAGAACTGTATTGTTTTTCAAGACAGGATCCAAGAACAAATTCAGAAAGGAAGTTTGAAATTCCTAGCCAAAGCTGAAAAGGCCATGGGGATCAACAGTAATCCATTTCTAGAAATTGGAGAGGTGGCAGCCAATGTCATTATGCTGGATTTTCAGAACCCGCCTTTGAAAGAATTGGAAGAAGTCAATGTGTAGATGTATGTGGCCAACCAGACAACTATCAAGAAAGACACTGGAAATCTACCAGCTATTGGACAAGGTTTCTCACACCAGAGAGAAGACTATGAGGAAGAAGCACTGGATGACGATTCCTTAGAAGCAGCTGTAATGCAGAGGATGTGTCCTAGGTGCAGACTAAGCTACAAGTGGTTGGAAGGACTTCCAATTGATAGGAAGCAATACTACAAGGATGTGCAGAGACGTCCTAAACTAACCAATGCTTACAATAAAAGGCCATATCCATTTGGTGTCAGGCAGCAGCCATTGAGGGTTGAACCAACAGCTGAGAGGATGCATTCCAAAGGCAAGAGGCCTTTACATGAATCTAGGCCACCTAATTATTACAGAATGGAGAGCAGTCATTCTGAGAGGAGATTGGAGAGAGGTTCAGTTTATGGGATCAAAGCCAGAGATTGGCCCCCTAGACCAGGCTCACGCAAGACAGAAAGTGGACACCTTCATCGAAGGCCTGAGTTAGGCCCAAAGCATGAAGTCAGGACCAAGCAGTGGCCTTCGCAGCTAGCTTCGAAGATGGCTTCAAAGGAGGAAAGAAGCAGTTCAACGGCATGGTCAGTAGGTTCGTGGGTACCTAGGGTCCCATATTGGTTTGTGATTTAGAATACATCTAGGGAAGTGTTTACCCAAAGAGATGTAATTGGAAACCAAGGCAGGATGGTTAAGCCTCATTTGGTGGCTCCAAACAATTGGGTGTTGCTTAAGCACCCAAAAACAAAGGAACCAAATATGGTCCCCGTAATTTCTAGATCACAAAGGAGAAAAATTCAGCGTACGTACACTCAATACCAGCGAGACCTAAAAGAGAATGGAGAGAGAGTTCTTCATTGGTACAGACAGAAGGAAAGAAGAATCCAAAGTCAGACCAT